CAAACCCGAAAACCTAACCTATATCACTACTGAAAAAATTGTTTATAAGTTTTCTCTTTGATATGGTATAATATATAAACAAATACTAGTTTATGCTATATAAACAAATTTGTTTATACTATATAAACAAATGCTAGTTTATAGTATAGGAGTATACTAGTTTAAAAAAGAAAAAGGTAATCAGAAAACTGAGTTACCAGTGCCAAGCAGTACTGGCATGTCTATGTTACAAGAACCTTCACTAGAGTATCACCGGCATAACATGCCTTTATGTGTACCAACATGCATCAGTGGTGAGCAGTTAATATACAAGCAAATGGGATAAAGAATATCTTTGCATCTGGTTTTATACATCCACATAGTGCTGATTTCAGCAACTACCCTGTGCTAACCTTATCTTTAAATGAACCAACAAGCTTTACTGAGTTATCAAATCATCCTCATTAAAATTGGCATTTGAGAATAGCATAGTGCCAGAGAATAGCTAAGTATGAAGTCTGATTAATCTGAGATAGCACACAGTCGTGAGTTATCAAAATTATTCTGTAATGCTTTCTTTTTTTTTCCTTTTGTGCATGTTTATAGTAGCTGGATATATGTGCTGAAAGATTTTATATAGTATATATATGTGTGTGTGTGTATATATACGTATATATATGTATATATATACATATAATACATACAAATATATAATGTATACAAGATACACTATACTTGATTCAAAGACTTCACAGATAATTGTGTGAGAAAGCCATGTGAAGAAACACAATAAAAATGTCATCTCTTACTGTCGTAACAGAGATAGGAACCAGGCTCTCTCGGGTTCAAGGAATGACCGCCTCAGATAGAAAGATTTCATATTGGGGTGGTATTTGAAATTGGTCCTAAGAATCAAGATCTTAATCAAGAATCAAGAAAAGATTTACAGTTTTAAATGAACAGTTTTAAAAGCCTTGCTTCCTGACTAATAAGTCATGAGTTAAAGGGCCAACCTAAAAACTTTCCATCCTGAGAAAATATTTCTTGTTATCAAAGTCAGAAACTTCTGTTTCTTTCTTAAATCAAACTTGATGGAGACATTATGTAATCAGAAAATTTGACTGTCACTTAATAATGTGAATTATAAATACAGCCTTCTTTATCCTGAAAAATAGTTAACCTGAAAGTTAGAACTTCCTTACATTACACTTTATTGCAAGAAAAAAAANAACAACATCTAGCATGCAGTAGGCATTCATTAAATCTTATACTAAATAAATGAAAGGAGCTGAATAGTATAAGAAATTAAGAGACAATCTATTTATGAAATCCAATACAGCAGAACCATGTGGAGAAAAACTCCCAAATAATGCTTAGCCAGGTCTCCTTTTTATTATATTCTGAGTAATCTCTCATGTTTGCTGTCTTCAAAATGGTAGCCTCTGTCAGTCACAACTCTTGGAAGTCTTCGGGATTATATATTATGTGTTCATATTATTAGGGAGTTTCAAGGAGTATGTCTTTTCAGTTTACAGGAGTCACCACAAGATGGTGGTATTTTTATTAGGTAACAAGTACTTTTTGTCTTCAGATACATCATTTATAGAGAAAAGAGAAAAACTATATGAAATATAGTATTTATTAATAAGAACAATATAACAATGTGAGGGTAAGATATTTAAATATAGCACAATATATCTATAAGGATATTATACCAGAAACATATTTTACAATCACTATCACATTAAATAGTAAGTAAACTTTATACTGGTGTAGCCTAACCATCTCTCTTAACAAAGCTTGGGAGGAGGAACCATTTGTGCTTAGGCACAGACCCTTAGAGGTTTCTTATATATTCAACTACTCTTGGTTTGGAGTTTGAAGTGTTACTGGCTAGTAATGTGGTGTTGATTAGCCTTTCAAACTATGGCTTTGGGTTTAAATTACCCTTTTAATTGTATCCATTATATAGTTAATTCAACAATCAAGGGCAATCAAATGGGATCATCCTAGTTTTTTTAGTTGTCTCAGTATAGGCCCAAGTCCGGTGCAGGTGGGGGAGGGGGAGAATGGACCACAGGAGGGAAAAGCGGTATTACTATTTTCCAATCCAATTCTTGTGTCCTTCAAATCTTGATTTCCATCAATCTTGAAATATATACCTTACAATCATTTAATAAAATGTATTGGATTATTTCTTTGCTTGAGATACACATATCTTTGGGAACAAAACTACAAAGCACCTAAACTTGGAATAGTAGTTGAGATAAAATTTCCTGGGCTTTAAGAATGGCTAGGAAAGGCTGCCAATTCTGCAGCTTAGAAACAGATACTTCCGTTTTGGACTTACAGGATTTTCCTCTGCTTTCCCCAGAAGTTACTGTATTGGGCACACTTCAAAGAATTTAATCTGGCAGTGCTTTCCCCAATTTCCATCCAAATAAACCAAGCAATTCTAGAAATGATGAAGGGCTACTTCTAATTCCACTTGTAACACACAACAAATTTGTTTTAAGGGCAATCTTGACATACTGGAAAGATGAAAGGAAAACAGTTATATTTAAGAAAGAAAGAAAACATTCAGTAAACAATTTGTATTTTATAGAATGAAGGAAACAACTATTTACAGACTAGGGACATGCATGATTTGAAGTTGGAAGCTAATTTGCCATTTTACACAAGAATATATTTCCTAGGCATCACTGTAAAGCTGAAGCTGTGATTGTGGTAAGATTGCGTTGCTAGCCACATTTCGGCAAGCCTCTTCAAATACAACTCAGGGTTTTGCTACATTTCTGCCATTCCCAAAGTGTCTTTTTTTTTTTTTCCACTTTCAGTTTAAAGGTCAACATTATGTAGAAACACGTGCATGGGAGCAGCACACTCATTGAGTTTATACAATTTTTTGTTTACTCTGAGATTGACAAACATAGGCAACAATGTTAGTAAACTAGGCCAAGATTTGATTTAGAAAAGATTTTTAGAAATTGGGTAAGAAACGTCTTTTAATTGCCACAGTGTGTGATCTATCTAGGTAACACATCAAAAGCACTTAAGTGTTTGCACTAGTTCCAGCTGTTTGCACTAAAAATAACTAGCACATCCATAAAGCTCATGTAAATCGACAAATAAAAAAAGGAAATCCAATCGCCTCACAACAAAGGTGTTAGTTTAGCAGCCTGAAGTTGCAGTCATTCTTGCCTTTATTAAACTGAGTGATCACGAGCTATCCTGGCTTTCCTCCTCTCTTTTCCTGTATGCTTCATTTAGCCGCTGGATTTCCTCCTGGTAGCCGCCCCTGTCTTGATGTTGCCTTTTACTGTTCTGCCTGTGTGCTTCGACGGTGTCCGGAATGGAGATGTTGATATCACCGTCAGGATTGCTCGTGGGTAGAAAGAGAGAGTAAGAGGCTGTTTCCCCTAAGTCACACGAAACAAATCGGTTTTCTTTCCGTGAGTAGCGTAGGGATGGAGATCTGACCTGCGGGGAGGACTGGCTGATGTTGCTAATGATTGACACCGTGTCCAAGGCCTCTTCATTATCACAAATTTCTAGAACCTCCAAGTGTATTTTCACGCTGGTGTCCGCAAAGGTGGACGGAGAATCTTCTGAGTTTGGCTCATGGCCAACACTTTTGGATCGGTAGACTTCTATTTTCTTCGAGGCTGGGGTTATTTTTTGTCCTTCTGCGCTTACCTCATAGGTAGAAAGAGATAGGGTTTTGCCTGTCGGGGCTTGGAGAGACACAGTTCCCTGGAATGCACACAAAGGGATGGCCAGCGCACCACCGGAACGCTGGGGGCAAAAACAAAATGGTTATTACTGAAAACTAGTTTCTGACATTAGGCCATTTAGAAAGCCATTTTATTCATCAAAACGGTAAAGTTCTTCTACTTCAGACCCATTTCCCTAGAAACCTTTTAACAGGTAAGGAATTTATAATTCTACCATCAAAGTGCCATCACCATTCACTTTCTTTTTTTTCCTTGTTTTATTGTGAAATAAACATTTTTTAAATTAGTTTCAGCAGTACAACACAGTGTAATAGTTATACTTTTTACCCCTCAAAGTGGCAACTCCCCTCCCCCAATCCGCCGCCCCACTCCCCCCCATATCATACATATCTATTACAATTCCCTTGACTCCACTCCCACACTATACTCCATGTTCCGTGACCATATATATATAGTCAATTATAGTTGACACACACTATCATACAACATCAGCTTCAGGTGTACACATGTGACCTTCTGACACCCTACAAAATATTTGCAACATTATTCATTATATTCCCCGAACTTTCATGTCCCTGTGGCAATATTGTTGTTACCTGTTTATGCTGTCTAATCCCTTCCTGTTCTCCTTCATCCCCACCCCCTCACCACTCACTTTCTCCTAGGTCAAATAAAACATCTAAATGAGGGCAGTCAGGAACCTTTCTTTGAAGACATGGGACATATTTTCACTATTGAAGACAAAAGTTGGATATTGATGGGCAGCAGTAGGTGTTTCCAAGAGAGAATATGATCATAGAATTGAATGCGTATTTACAATCTGGAATTGCTTTTATATTTTTGTTACATATTCAGTGACATTAAGAAGTTTGCATAGGTTGAAAGAAATGCAGACGTTGTTATCAAAATGCACTTTTTTTTTCCTGCTTGGTATGGCAGAGGGAATGATAATTGTGAAAGTATGATTCAGATTAAGCAGAAGAAATAGTTCAATTGTTAGGTTTGCACATGCAGAAGAGGAACCAAATGTCACTGCAACTGTGCTGCAGTGTGTTTACTTTCCCATGGAGAAACCGCAGTCATTAAAGTAAACCCAATATTAGAAAGCTCCCCCATATCTTTGCAAAAAAATGCCTGAAAATTTAAACCTCTTATATTATATTTAAAACCTTGTATATCAAATTTTTAAAAACTGTACTCACCACTGAGAAATAGTTAAGCAATGAAGAAAATAAGACCAATTTTTACAATAGTGTGTACCTTATATTGTTAACTTATGCTCCCATACTTTCAGTGGACTCATTTTTTGATTACAGGTTAGTCTTGGAAGAAGATAGTAACATGCCAAACTTGTAGAGCCAAGGTTCTCAAACCTAGGTCCCTGGACCAGAATCATCAGCATCACCTTGTAACCTACAGGAAATGTGATTTTTGAGCTCTCCCCAGACCTACTGAGTTAGAAACTCTGGGGGTGAAGTCCAGCAATCTGTATTTTAAACAAGGCTTCTAGGTGGTCCTGTTGCTTGATAAGCGTTGAAATCCATTGCTGTAGCTAAACAAATGTTGTAGCCCAGAAAAAGAAGGGGGTGGGGAATGGCTAACAGACACTTTTTATACACGTGCCCACCCCCTAGAAAGCCTGGAGCTACTAACTAAATAGGCGTACGAGTGATTTTCCATCAGGGGAACCAGCATGAGGGCTCGTGGTGTTTGTACGTTTTAGAATGATCAGCCTTTCCAGATTGCCCGTAGGGGTCCCAGTGTTGGCATTGAAATTCCTGCATCCCAGGAAACCTCTCTGTTCCAGGGAAACCAGGATGGCTGGTCAGCCTATTAGCCATGGGCATTTTGTATATGGACCTAAGCGTGGCTAGAGGAAACCCAGGACCAGTGTCCCATGCTGGAGAACAGTTAGGATTCTCATCTACTTGGAGAAATGTTTAGGGGAGCATGGATCATGAATTTCATTTGTGGTGCCGTCATGCCTCACTCCTTGAATTTAGGGGCCACAAAAAGTACAGATGAGGACGTGTGAGTCGTTTTCCCCAGGCTGTCCCTGTTATTTTCCCTATGGAGGAGACTTGAACTCTGTTTATCCATAAGGGGACCTGGGAACCTAACCTTATGCTCTTGTACCTAAAGGGCCATGAACTTTGAAAACTCACACTGTGAACTTCAGTCTACCCTTCTGCTGAGGCACAGAACTTCATCAGCTTCACATGTGTGGTGTTGACTGAAGGAGAAAAGGCACAGGGACAATTCTTAGGTTCATTACTGTGCAAGAGCATTGTTTGAGTGGCGGCAACTTTTGGCGAAGAACTGACCTTCGCTTACTTTTTTTTTTTTTTTTTTTTTTTTTT